TGTGTGTGTGTGTGTGTGTGTGTGTGTCTTTCTCTGCCCCTCCCCCGCTCTTGCTCTGTCTCTCTCTCAAAAAATAAATAAGCATTAAAAAAAATTTTTTAAACCTTTTTTTTTTAACGTTTTATTTATTTCTAGGAGAGAGAGAGAGAGACAGCATGAGCAGGGGAGGGTCAGAGAGAGAGGGAGACACAGAATCTGAAGCAGGCTCCAGGCTCTGAGCTGGCAGTCAGCACAGAGCCCGACGCGGGGCTCGAACCCACGAACTGCGAGATCATGACCTAAGCGAAAGTCGGCCGCTTAACCGACTAAGCCACCCAGGCGCCCCTAAAAAAATTTTTTTAAAGAAAAAAAATCCCAAGGTACAAATGACCTTTATCAGCTTTTGAGAGCAAACTGTCACTTGGTGTGGGGGGGGGAGGGTAAGGCTGGAACCGCAGAGAGTCCCAGTTAATGGCGCAAAGAGGCCAGGACAGGAGCAGGGGTGGGGGGGGGTATCTTGCCCCTAACCTACTCCCCCTCTTTCTCTGTGGGCCATTTTTTCCTGCCCACCTTTCTGTCCCCACTGTAGAAGAAAAGTAACTTCACCCCACATGAGGGAACGTCACCAAAACCAACGTCCTTTGCTGCGAAAGTTGTTTCAGACACCAAAAAACAGACAAGTGACTCTCCAAAAGTGCAATCGGCAAAACATGGATGTGTTTTTCTCAACAGCTACGAGAGGGAGAGGATAATGAGGAATCCTGGCTGCAGGAAGTGCTCACTTGCCAAAAAAATTATCCAGAGCATGTGGTCCTAACTCACTTGCCTGGATCCGCGCACCAGTCACAAGCTGACGGAGCTAAGCTGTGCGTGTTTGCATAACACAGGTTCCCCTGAGCCTGGCAGATGTTTGCTGCTTTCCAAGAGGGGCAAGCGTAGAGGGGGCATAGCTTCGTGGCACTGCCTGCTCGAGAAAGGGACGCGGGAAGTCAGTGCTTAAAGGAGCATCCTAGGGCGAGCTGCTGGCTTGGATCGGGTGTCTGAGCCTGGTCGGAATAATTACACACCTTCTTTCATAACAAAAGGAGATACCCATTCAGTAACCCTAGAGGAGGATTTGGCTCTTAAATTGTTAACAGACCGTGGATCAAGCCAAGTACCCGAGAAGGAAAAGCAAATATCCTTTGGATGAGTTTCAAGATAGGGTTGACGTTCTCTGAAAAGACTCCTCGTCTCTGATTCTACTGCCGTGTTCCTCCCACACAACAGTATCCACAGCAATCCCAGAGAGCTTTAGAGAAGGTCTTTTTTGTTTTTCAAGTTTATTTATTTATTCTGAGAGAGAGAAGGCAAGAGCAAGCAAGCACAAGCACCAGAAAGGCAGAGAGAGAGAGAGGGAGGGAGGGAGAGAGAATCCCAAGCAGGCTCTGTGCTGTCAGCTCAGAGCCCTACACGGGGCTGGAACTCACAAACCGTGAGATCACGACCTGAGCCAAAACCAAGAGTCGGGCGCTTAATCCACTGAGCCGCCCAGGCGCCTCTAGAGAAGGTCTTTTCACTCATGATCGCGGTTCATGGTACAATTATGCAGCCCCGATAAAGAACCACAGTGATTAATAGGTGGAATCATAAAATGCTTTTACAGAGCCATGTGAGAGGAAGTATCAGAGCAGGTCGGGAGGGGACCAAATACTTCAGGTGTGTCGCTTTTTCTGTCTGGGGGACCCTGACCCACAGATGAGACAAAGCAGGGGGCAGCAGTCGAGATGGGGAGAGAAGAGAATGTCTGCACGCACACACAGTGGAGAGTGTAGGCACCAGAAAACTGGGAAGAGACGGGGAAGTTAGCTCCCGTTGCTAAAGAGGTTGAGAAGTAGTTGTCCTAATTATACATGATCTGCAGATTGAAAAAAAAAAATGCCCAATACCTCACAGCCTCAACCTGTCGACACCCAGAAGCAGAAAAACACAAGATTAAACTAGAATCCCAAGCAGCGAACACAAGACCGTACAGCCTCCTGGCCTCGACCACAAGCACCGGCCTCATCTCTGCCTGAGGAATCATGGGAGATGCAGTTACAGGGCAAGAGTGTTTCATGTTAATTTAAGTCACTGGCATTTAAGTCTTTTCCTGGACAGGCTCTCTTCTAAGATCATGGCTTTTAAATTAACCTAAATTAACCTAAATGTGCCTTCGATTCTTTTCCGTTCTTTTCCCTGTAACTTCTCCGTGTGATGTTTCAGGTTTTACTTGGGATTCCCTCCAGGCGCAGAGCTTTAGAGAAGGTCTTTTTTGTTTTTTAAGTTTATTTATTTATTTTGAGAGAGAGAAGGACCCTGGGGCCCTCGGAACCCGGCGTGAACAACATGGTAGTCACCGGCCACATGTGGCCACGGAACCTTGAAGACTGAGATGTGGCTAATCCAAAGTGAGGTGTGATCTAGGTGTAAGATACACACCCCATTCCAAAGACTAAGTAAGATGCTTTAATTTTTAAAACCTTGGTTACACACTGAACTCATTCTGAGTATATTGGGTTCAATAAAATATGTTACTAAAATTAATTTCATATGTGGGGCACCTGGGTGGCTCAGTTGGTTAAGAGTCCAGCTTCGGCCCAGGTCATGATCTCACTGTTTATAAGTTCGAGCCTCACATCAGGCTCTCTGCTGTCAGCACAGAGCCCACTTCAGATCCTCTACCCACCCCTGCCCCTTCCCCATTCACATACACACACACACTCTCTCTCTCTCAAAAATCATTAAAATTAAAAAAAATTTTTTTAATTGATTTCATCATTCTTTTTTACTCTTTTAATACAGTTTATTTATTTATTTTGAGAGAGAGAGAGCGAGCGAGCATGTGTGCACATGAGCAGGGGAGGGGCAGAGAGAGAGGAAGAGAGGATCCCAAGCAGGCTCCGTGCTGTCAGCCCGGAGCCTGATGTGGGGCTCGAACTCACAAACTGTGAGATCACAAGAACTGTGAGATTTACTTTTTTAATATGGTTTGCTAGAAGATTTAAAACTACATCTGTGGCTCATATTCTATTTCTGCTGGGCAGAGCTACCCTGAGTTTTTAGCACACTAAAGTGCATGAATCTCTAAGGCAGGTTTCCAAACACATACACGACCGCACAGCCATTTTTCACATACCATAATTATTCTAGTTATTTATGTATTCTCCCTCCTGCTTTTCCATGTTTTCTACCTATAGGTGGAAGTTTGCTGAGATGTTTATTTTAGTTTAGTTACATCTACGATACCAGAGATCCACCAGGTGTCTTTCCAGAACTTTACATTCTACGTCTACTGTGAATTACATACCAGTTTCCATTTTCAGAAATGAGAACAAGACTCACTTGTAAAAAGCTTTGAGCTTTTCAGATTTCAGGGCCGAGGCAGAGCACCCCCACAGCATTTGATGCTTTGAAGATGTTGGCTATTAGTTAATTCCTACCTTTTCCAGGATACAGAGAAGAGAATATAAGCACAGAACTCACAGCTCCCCTTTTCCTGGGCCAGAGCTCAGACTCCGCCAACAGGGAGCCAGACGCAGAACATTAGGTTGTGCTGCCCTCTACTGGCCGCAACGAGACACTGCACAAAACCCACAGGCGGAAAACAATTCTATTTCAGTGCTTCATTGATGGACTCTTTTTTTTAAGGGAGAAAAATCTCTTTTAAATATATCTGCAGTCTGCAGATTGAAAAACACCATTCTAAACGATGCAAATGAAGAAGTTCAAACAGCAACAAAGCCTTAGAGCTCCATTCTTATAGAAGAACATACTCTTACCCTGGCTTCTGTGAAACTGAACTCAATTCTCTTCTTTGTCCCATATACCTTTCTGTTCACCGCCTCCCCCCACCTCCCCCCAAAATAGGGGAAGACGTCTGTGCCTGGTCTCAGCATTCCTCACTGACAGGCTCCAGTATCACCTTCTCGCTGAACTCTGCCCACCTCCATCCCTGCACCTCTTCCCAAACTGACTCAGTCTCTGTCCCTCAGCAAGCACACCGCCCAGTCAGCTCTGTCTCTCACCCTCCAGAACTCCAGCAATTTGAGGACAGACCGCGTCTTAGACATTGTTGAATAATACCTTATTTACACCTCTTGAACTTGAAAATAGGCTCAGCGTTACTAAAGGCTTTCACGTGACTGAGATATTTGAATAAAAGGTTTATGACCTAATAAGACGTATATGTAAACTGGAAAACCAGATGGAATGTGAGAGATAAATGGCAGGCTACAAAAGCTGATAAAACCCTCTACTAGGTGAACACAAAGGAAGAAGCCATTGCCTTTAGCCAGAGCAGGAGGAAATGGCATTTGAGACTGATCTGAAATGATAAGCTGGGGGGGGTGGAGTCCTAATACATGGAAACCCTTCCAGACAGAAGAAATACGAATACAAATGAAATCAAAACAAAATACAATACAATACAATATAAAATAAAATAAAGTAAAATTTAAAATACAATAAAATTTAAAATAAAGTAAAATTTAAAATACAATAAAACAAAATACAAGCCTCTGAGACAGACAGAAAAGTGTGAGTGTCTTCTCTGAGCAAGCACTGCTGTTTCTCCAGAGCCTATGGTGCTTTCACCGGAAAAAGAAAGGCAGATGGGGCCAGAGCTGTGAGGGTCTTAAAGGCCAAGCTAAGGAGGATGGAAGGGTAATTTGATCAGGCAGGAACTGGTGGGAAGGGGGAGTGGGGGTGGAGCACAGACCCCCCCCATCCAGTTTTCCTGCAGTATCCCACTTTTCTGTGGGAGCTGTAACACTTCGGGGAAACTTCTGGATGGACCCCTCCCTGGCTAGGATGGGGTGCTGAAAGGAGGCAGCGTTCTCCTCATTACAGAAGAGATCCTCCGATTGCCAAGTTTGTCCAAGTTTGTCCGTGCACCGGAATCACCCGGGGGGGTTCATCAAAGCACAGATTGCTGAGCCCCAGCGCCGCCCCAACTAACCCCTGCCGTGCCCTCCCATCCCCTGCCATGCACCAGGACTTACCGGGTCTCGGGGCCAGGTCCCCCAAATCTGCATTCCCAGTAAGTTCACTGGTGACATCAGCTTTTGAAAACCATTATCCAAGGTTTCTAGAAGGAAAACAGTAAGTGGTAAGTAGAAAGCCATTGCTCGTTCAAAACAAAGTACCCGGCACCTAGCAAAGTGCCTGAGGCATAAAACGCCCTTCAGAAATATAAAAACAGCTTTTAATGAACAACTGCACAGCCAGATAGCATGTCAGATAAAGCCCCACGTTACACGCATTCACAGGAGGGAGGGATTGCTCGGAGTTTCAGACAGAACGGTACACAGGCTAGTGCCACCTCCGCAGACTTTCCTCCTCTCTCCCTCCCAGAAGCCAGCATGTCTCAGACCTGCTGATTCCTTCTCCTTTCTTCATGTATTTACGCTTTATATGTATACGCATATCCGGTACGTATGTAGTAGTTGTACTTAATATTCTTAAATGTCACGAATGCATCCCATAACGCATCCCATGACACACCTGTTCTGTTCGTTACAGGTGTTTTGGTGTTGTGGGAAAATGTATGTAACATACAATTTACTACTAAACCATTTTAAGTGCACAGTTCAGTGGCATTAACCACATTTACGTTGCTGTCCAAACACCTCCACCCTTCATCTCCAGAACTTTATTTCATCTTTCTGAAACGAAACTCCCTTAACATTGTTTCAAAACACCTTCCATTAGAATTGTTTTAATCATTTTAACTGCTGTATAGTATTCCACGAAACAGTATGCCACATTTATTTTTCCACTCCCTTCTTGATGGAAATGTAACTTATTTCCAACTTTTGGCTCTCACAAGTACCTTCGCATGTGTCTCTTTGTGCGTATACCCACCTACGAGAGGAACTAATGAGTCAGAAGATAATATGCACCTCAGCTTTCCTACAGAGCACCCAATTGCTCTCCAAAATGGCTTTACTAATTTCTGTTCCAGCAGATCGGGATCCCAGACAGCCCCAGCTCCCCCACATTCCTGACCACATGTGGCCTTGCTAATTTTTACCAATGTAGCGACTATAAAATACTATCTTGCTTTCATTTGCATTCTCCTTACCGGTGAAGGTGAACGTCTTCTCAAGTACTGGCAACTCAGATGCCTCTTTTGTGAACTCCCCATTCAGATCTTTACCATTTTTGTTCTTTTGTATTTTTTTCTTCTTATTGATTTGCATGAATTCTTTACATATTCTGCAAAGTGTTCTTTTGTTGATTACTAGTTACAAATATGTACTCCCAGTCCCTGGCTAGTCTTTAACTTGGTTTACAGTACATTTTTTAATTAAACAAATGTGACTTAAGTCGGTTAAGCATCCAATTTCAGTTCAGGTCATGATCTCACAGTTCATGGGTTCGAGCCCCACGTTGCACTTTGTGCTGACAGCTCAGAGCCTAGAGCCTGTTTTGGAGTCTGTGTCTCCCTATCTCTGCCCCCTCTCCCGCTCATGCTCTGTCTCTCTTTCTCTCAAAAATAAACGTGAAAAAAAAAAAGAAAGAAATCCTTCTTGGGGTGCAGTCAGTAGAGCACGCACTCTTGATCTCAGGGTTGTGAGTTTGAGTCCCACATTGGGTATAGAGATTACCTAAAAATAAAATCTTTAACAACAACAGAAAAGAAATCCTTCTTCCTCAGAGGACATAAACTCTTAAACTTTCTTTTATAAGTGTAAAGATTTACTTTTCCTCAATAAAACATCTAATAGTCTTGCAACTTGCACAATTACATTGCACTGATTTTCTGTCTGTACCAAAAGCATTAATTTGTTAAATATATACATTTCAACTCTCTCACTTCTACTTACAATTTTTAGCATTTAAAATATATTTCTTCTGGGGTGCTTGGGTGGCTTAGTCAGCTAAGCGTCTGACTTTCGCTTAGGTCATGATCTCACGGTTCGTGGGTTCGAGCCCCGCGTCGGGCTCTGTGCCGACTGCCAGCTCAGAGCCTGGAGCCTGTTTCAGTCTGTGACTCCCTCTCTCTCTGACCCTCCCCTGCTCACGCTGTCTCTCTCTCTCCTAGAAATAAATAAAACATTAAAAAAAATTTTTTTTAAATACATAAAATATATTTCTTTTGTTTTTTAAAGTTTATTTTTGAGAGAGAGAGTGTGGGAGTAAGAGAGGCACAGAGAGAGAGGGGAATAGAGGATTCAAAGAGGGCCCTGCACTGACAGCAGTGAGCCCGATCCAAGGGCTCGAACCCGTGAACCGTGAGATCATGACCTGAGCTGAAGTCGGAGGCTCAACCGACTGAGTCCCCCAGGTACCCCGGCATATTTAATTTTTTAAGTTAAAACGCAAGCAATGGAAGACACGCTGGCCGCTATGCTCTCCTGACTTGCTCAGGTCTCCGGGACCTCCCTTCCACATTTCATGAGTGAGGACCAGTGCAGTGACACTGCAGGATGAGCCACAGTGGGAACAGTGATGGCTTGATTTGGGGGACAGAGAAGCACCTGGACATTTCCAGGAATTTCAGAGAGGAAGGCATCTTCTCTGAGGAGGACTTCCTTTATCAGGTGGGTGGGCTTTTAGCATTTTGACACTGAGTGTGGGTAATAATGGCACCGCTGAGGGCGCCTGGGTAGCCCAGCTGGTTAAACATCCGACTTCAGCTCGGGTCATGATCTCGCGGTTCGTGAGATCAAGCCCTGCATCCGGCTCTGCGCTGACAGCTGGGAGCCAGGAGCCTGCTTCAGATCCTGTGTCTCCCTCTCTCTCTGCCCCTCTCGGGCTCGCACTCTCTCTCTCTCTCTCAAAAATAAATAAACATTAAAAAAAATTTTTTTTTAAATAATGGGGCTGCTAAGTCCCTCACCACAGCTCAAGCATGGCTACTTGGATTAAAAGATGTGGACCTGGGGGCACCTGGGTGGCTTAGTCGGTTAAGCGTCCGACTTTTGTTTAGGTCATGATCTCGCGGTTCGTGGGTTCGAGCCCCGTGTCGGGCTCTGTGCTGACAGCCAGTTCAGAGCCTGGAGCCTGTTTCAGTCTGTGACTCCCTCTCTCTCTGACCCTCCCCTGCTCACACTGTCTCTCTCTCTCTCTCCTAGAAATAAATTAAAAAAAAAAAACATTAAAAAAAAAAGATGTGGACCTGACTCCACAGGCAGTGGGGGGCCCTCTAGGGTTTCAGGTTGGGATGTGGCCTTACCTGTGGCTGTGGACAGAAGTGGGAGATGTATTAGAAGGTGGAGACAAGAGTGTGGAAGCCTAGAGACGTGGTCAGCTCCGGTGGCTTTAACAAAATGCCACAGGCTGATGGGCTTTCACAGGAAACATCTCTCAATTCCAGAGGCTGGGAGTCCAACATCAAGACACCAGCACACAGGGCGCCTGGGTGGCTCAGGCGGTTAAGTGTCTGACGCCTGGGCTCTGGTCATGATCTCAAAGATTCACAGGTTCGAGCCCCGCATCCAGCTCTGTGCTGACAGTGTGAAATTTACTTGGGATTCTCTCTCTTTTTCTGCCCCTCCCCTGCTGTCTCTCTTCTCTCTCTCTCAAAATAAATGAACATTTAAAAAACAGACGAAAGAACAAGGGCACTAACCTCATCGTGGACCCCACCCTCCTCACTTCGTCTGAACCAAATTAAGACCCTCCCAAAGGCCCCACCCTCTACGCCCTTCGCACAGGGGTGAACCTGGACAGGTAACAAAGACCCAGTCCGTAGCCAGAGACCAGTGGGAGTCATCCAGGCAAACGCAAGGTGAATTTACGAAGAATCAGTAGAGAATCACAAAAGGGAACAGGTTTGAGTGATATTCAGAGCAGCAGAATCCACTGGGAGGAGGAAATCACCACCAACAAACTGCAGCGCCCCCTTCAGACGCTCATCTGGCACAACCACCCACGTGTTACATCCCCGCTTGCTGAACCTCGAAATGGAAACATTCTAGCTCTCTCTCTTTGAAGATCAGAACACCACAAAGGACAGAGGATTGGCTCTGCTCAGGGAAATTCGAGCCAAGGAGGGGCCAAACCTGAACAACAGCCAAAACCAGACATGGTCCCTGTATTCCAGATGTGGGTGCTCTGAGGGAGCTAAAATAAAAAACAATGTTTGCCTCCGCCTTTATTTATTGATTACTCTTCATCTTGTACCCTGTCTAATCTCTCATCTGGAGGCCCCAAAGCCATGTCAAAGCCGTGTCCGCTCAGCACAGCGCTGAGACAGAGTGCCAAGGAAGGACCTGTCGGTGGGAGGAACTTGATTTGTAATTATTCCCAAGCAGCCTCTGACCGGAGGAGATGATTAAGGAAGATGGTGCATTTGGGGGCAAAGGGTAAAGTCCACCATGGATTGAGCAGTGGGAACAAAGACTGTGAATAAATACCCACTCCTCTGCTTGGAGAACAATGAATTCTAGTTCGTTTAGGATTGAGCCCTGGGGCCAATTTTAACTGAACAAATTCGGAGAACAAGAAGTAGACAGTAAAGCCTGAGACATCCATCCACACATACATGGCTCCTCAACTTGGCTTCTCCACATCTCTCTCTTCCTTCCCTGCCCCCACCAAATTCTCAGGAGAATCTGGCTTCTAACAACCAGCATTCATTACAATCTGATCATGACTGGAGGAGAGAGGAGAGCCAGTTACATGGAAATCAGAAAAATGGGAAGGGATGTGCCCACACCAAGGTAATCAAGACTCTTCTTTTATTACATTGCACAATCCCCTCGGGACAGGAAGCTGGAAGTGCTGGAAATGGTTGGGATCGGCTACCTTTTTTTTTTTCCTTAAGTAATCTCGACACATAACGTAGGTCTCCAACTCACACCCCCAAAATCTAGAGTCCCCTGCTCTATTGACTGGGCCAGCCAGGCGCCCCAACAGCAGCTTTTTGTTCTTTCTTTTTAATGTTTATTTACGTATTTTGATGGGGGGGGGGGGGCAGGTGGAGAGAGAGAGGAAGAGAGAGAATCCCAGACAGGCTCCATGATGTGGGGTTCGATCCCACAACCCTGGGAGAATGATTTGAGCGGAAATCAAGAGTTGAAAGCTCAACTGACTGAGCCACCCAGGCTCCCCAGAGCAACTTTTCTTAGAGAACTGAATGTCTGACTGAAGAACTGAATAAGTAATCAAGAGGGGATGGCTACA